CGCATGTGTGTGTGTAGGGATGATGGAACAGCAACCTCAGCAATGCCTGTCTGTGGACAGGGGTCCCTGGTGATTCTCCTCGGATGCACCACCTTCTGCCCCGGGGCCAACACTAAAACCAAGCCATGGAGGCAGTGGGTGCCAGCACATCCCACAGGTGGGCAATGTGGGTGGCACTGTCCCCATCCTGTGGTGCACCCCAGGCTCTTTTTCTGGCACCCTGCATCCCTCCCCACCAGGGTGAGTGTCCCTGCTGCTCCTGAGATAAAAACACTATGCCTGGGGAAGACCCAGGGTCACTGCCACCCTCGCTATCCCTGCCATCAACGTGGGAGATCAGGACCCAGCATGGCCTGGGTGGGCAGGAGCTCATTGTCAGGATGTGCCTCGGGCACGGCGCCTCTGCCCAGCCCAGCTTTCTGACCGCACAAAGAAAACATTTGCCCAGACACAGCCTGGCCCCTTGCCATGTTGAAAGCCTGGCTGCCGGCAGCTGGAAGGGGTCATGCAATGCCTCCCCAGCAGGACACAGAGCACAGGACTGGGAGACGAGATAAACAAGGCTGGGTTTTAGAGCCTTCCTGAAATCTGCTCTCATAAAAGGCAGCTGTCTGGAAACCTGCTAATCGCAGGGAGGAGAGTCTCCCTGTGAAGAAGGGAGGCTTGCCAGGCCTGCCACCACCACTGCTCGCACACAGGCGGTGCTCCCGCCCCGGCTGCAGCAGCCTGGTAAAACACCGGGGAGGTGAATAACACTGTGGGCAAGTGACCCTGCAAGCAGGATTTCCAAGAGCTTCAGAGCCCCACATACCATGGAGTAGCTCCCTGTGGCGCTGCACACTCCAGGGAGCACTGCCAGCACAGGGGACCATGCTGCCATCTGGTCTGGGAGCAAAGGGCACGATGGAGAGAGCAGGGAATTCAGGCACAATGGCTGAGTACAGCTGGTACAAGGTCCAGAGGTATCCTGGATACGTTCTGACAAGCTAGGATGGATCTAAGGGCTCACTTATCCTTCCCACTGGGACAGTGGGTTTCAGTGATCATCACACAGGCCTGTCCCTTTTCCTAAGTCTCTGTGCTAAGATCTGTGCTGTCCTGGTTGTGGTCTGGGGCTGGACTGCAGTTGGTGCCTATGCCTATGGAATACTTCGGGTTTCCAGTCCAGTGCTCTTTATACAATGCAGAGGACTTCTCCTTGCTTGCACATTCCAGGTACATCTGGGGTGGTGGCTAAAACAGACAGGCATCAACAGATCCCCTGTTTTCTCCTCCTGTCCTTCTAGCTAAAATGCTCAGCACTTCCCAAGCAGAACTCAGGAGGAATCATACAACAGCAGCTGGGCTCTTTGCTCCGAGCCAGCCAGCTCCAAGTAGCTTCTGTTCCCAAAAACACACACTGGGTGTCTCCTGTGACTTCTCTCACATCTTCTTAGCATTCACCTGTCTGCAGCCAAGTGTCTGGAATGGGGTGGTTTCTGTTTCATAGAGGAGGGAGACTGTCCCACCTGTCTTTTACACTTGGATTTAAAAGGACTTCCCTGCCACATCTGACCACTCAGCCTCCTCCTGTATTCTGAAGGAGCTCAAAATGACAAGGCTCTAATAAACCCACCATCCTGTGAATGAGGGAAAATAATTTAAGAAGTGATGAATGACACATTCTTATTTACTGTAATTACACAGCATGCTTCAGGAAGGTATTTTCCTATCACTAATCCAAAACATTTATACTCCCCTTTCTCGCAGTTTTTGGCTCCTTGATTTCCTTCTAGGCAGCCACTCCCAGAGTGCTCTCAAGGTGCACGTAGTATTCCTGCAAATCTCTGCCCCTCTGGAGCTAGCAAGGAGGAAGGGGATCTGTTCTTCAACTTCTCCAGCCTCAGTTTTCCTCAGCTACATTTGCAGTGAAGGAAGGACAGAGAAAGAGTGAAACCCTGAAGCTTTGCTTGCCCAGTGTGTTGTTTTCCTACTACATTTTCTAATGGGTCTTGTGACAGCCTGGGACCCTACTGTAGTGTGTAACCACCATAAATATCCAGGTCAGTACCATATAGCAAGTCCAATAGTGTTGCTCTAGGTTTATCCTTTTAAAGATTTTCACACTAAGATGGTAAAATATCCCAGATTTCCACTTGATTGAAAAAAAAAAAAAAAAAAGGAACATTTCCTTCTATGCATGACCCAAAACTCTCTCTTCTTCTCCCAAAAGTCCATAAAATTGCATGCAGAAGGCCTTAGGTTTTCATCAAAATGGTGAGGAAGTGCTTTGCTTCTCCTGGAGCCTCCCAAAGGACTGGAATATGCTGGGTGTTACCACTTCAGGCAGTTCTGAGGAGCAAGCCATTTGACTGGAAGAGTCTGCAAGCTCCCCACCCTGTCTGTTACAGAAACCATGCAAAGCCCTTTCCTGCCCATGGGAGGAATCACCTGCAGGGAACTGTCTTTTCTTTCAGAGTTCAAGCTCCCTTTGAGTCAGCAGTCCCCCAAAAGGTCTCCATGTGCTTTAGTTCAGGGTTAAGCTCCTTTCACTTGGGCTGTTTTCTTGACACTTTTTCAAGGACCAGTCCAGTGAGGAGGAGAGATATTTCATGCTGAAGCTGCTTGTTTCTCTTCACTGACTGACAAGAGAGCCTGGAGTTCTACCTTGGATGTCCAGCTTGGATGACTGACATGGGGCTAGCAATATGTCCTCGATGAGCAAGTTTCCCTTGCAGTCTGTGGTCCTCCTTCCCAAGGGAACTGCTCTGTAGTCCAGGCTTACCCAAGGTAATGTTCCAGGGGAGATTTAGGTTGGATCTTAGGAAAAAGTTCTTCCCCCAGATGGTGGTTGAGCACTGGGACAGGTTCCGCAGGGAAGTGACCACAGCCTCAAGACTCACAGAGCTCAAGAAGCATTTGGACAGTGCTTTCAGGCACTTGGTAGGACTGTCCTGTGCAGAGTCTGGAGCTGGACTCCAGGATCCTTGTGAGTCCCTTCCAACTCAGAATATTCTATCTCTTTGAACGTGTGTAACAATTTGCTTTCCGCAGCAGCAGCAGCAGATTCTCCCACCCACCTCTGTAGCAGTCCACAAGCCTCTCCTTCTGACCTCCCACCCCTATAACCTACACACACGTGGCACAAATGTATGTTATTTTTTTGTCTCCGGTTTAGTTTCGGACAGTGTGGAAATGCCATCAAGTTAAAAGGGAGAGAGCTGTACAAGCCCGCAGTGCCGCTTGCTGCTTGCCAGGCAGGAGCCTCCAACACCTCATCAGAGCCTTCGCTGCTGCTCCTAAAACCTTATTCGCACTTTACAGACGGGCAGTGCGGTTCGGCAGCCTCCCCGCCCCCCCGCACAGAAAAACACGAGTTACCCCTCTGGCCAGAATACCTGTAAAGCACGATTTTTAGACAGGAATGACGTGAGGTTCCCGTCTCTATTTTGGCAGGCCGTGGTGTGTTTGGTATTTATTGGGTTAATTCCCCCGCCTCCCCCAGCCGCCCGGATTCCGTGGGAGCCCGGGTTTGGAGGTCACGCACCTCCACGAGCCGGAGCCCGCGGAAGGGAGGGAGCAAAACTAAACCAAGTAAAAAGCAAGCGGTCAGCGCTGGCGGCGAGGATAAATACATCTCTATGGATCGCCTCAGCTGACACTTCCCGCCTGCGGTTCCCGCCGGGAATACCGGAGAGAAACCCGCCAGCCCGGCTCTGAGAAGGGGTGGTGGTGTCGGGGGTGTCCGCTCCCCCCGCCCCGCACGTGGGGCCGGGGCCGCTGCGCTCCCCGCACACGCTGCACACCCCGCACGTTGCAGGGCCACACATGCCGCGCCGGCGTGCAGGCACGGCGCACACACGGGGACACGCGGGGACACACAGGCAGGGACACGCACACGCGGGGACACACACGCACGCACAGACAGCGCCTTTGCCGGAGCATGGGAAAGAAGAGCACCCCCTTCCCTCGGGCACCGGCACCCCGTCCTTCCGCTGGCAGGAGGGTCCTGGCGGGCTGCCCGGCGAGTGCCGGGGCTGCCCGGTGCCGCCCGGAGCCGCCGCCTGCTAGCGGGGGGCGGCGAAGCAGGGCCGCCCGGTGCAACCCGGCAGCAGTGATGTGGCAGCAGGTCCGGTCACGTTGCCGGCCCTGTGCTCGTACCAGTGTGAGACGGGATTAGGGAGGCGGCTGTCGGTGCCACCGCCGGCTGCTGGGAGCGGAGGCTGCGCGAGCGCGCCCGGCGCGCAGGGACGAGGGCGGGGGGCAGGGGGTTCCCGCCCCGCCCCGTCCCGGGGCTGCTGCGGTCGGTCACGCTGCACCGGTGCAAATGCTCTGCCAATGTCACCCCCTGCGCCCCGCAGGGATGCGGGCTGCCCGAGGGCAGCGTCAACAGCAGATGTGTTTACCTTAGAGATAGACATATTTTTATATGTATGTGCCTCTATACGTGAGTCCGTCTGTACTGAAGGAGCGCTTCTGCCGCGGTTTGGCGTTGCAGGCAGATCCGGCTCCCGTCCAAAGGTCGGGAGGGAGAGCTGCCGCGAGCAGCGGAGGCCGGGCGGGAGCACCGGGGGACGAGAGCTGCGGCATGGCGACGCCGGGCCAGGGAGCGCTCCGCGCAGTAACACGCGTGTGCGTGCGCCTGTTCGTTCCCACGCATCTTATAGAAATCTACAGAAAACGTATGGGGAACGTGACCCCCTAACCGCACCCCCAAGAGAGGGGCTCGATTATTACCCCCTTTATCCCGTGGCCACGTTTTCCACTGGCGGGTCTCCTCTCTCGATGCAAATTTAAAAAATATTAAAACACAATAATAAAAGTAAAATTATTTCATAATTATTGAAATTAGAAAAATCATAAAAACACAGTGAGAGTGGCAATCATCACGGCGGTAACGCTGACGGTGACAGCGACAGCGGCAGCACCAGTAGCACGGGGGGAAGCCGCTGTCTCGCAGGGCGGCCCCGGGCGGGCGGCGGGACCCCCCCCGTCCCCTCCCCNGGGGGGGGGACGAACTGCCGCACACTTTTGGCCACTGGACGGGAGAGGGGGGACGGAGGCTGCATGTGCGCAGCGTCGCTCGCGGATCTCCCGAGACTGATCTCAGCATCCCGCAGGCTCAGTCAAAAGCAGCGACGAAACATCAGCCGCTGCCAGACATGGATGAAGGAATCTCCCGCTTGCCGGAGAGGCAGCTACTGGAGCATAGGGATTTTATAGGGTAAGGCGCCGGGGCACTATCTCCGTTTCGTATCTCTACGGCGTTTCGTCTTCTTGAGAAAGTGCTGCGAAGCGCTGGGAGCGGCGCCGGCTGCCCGGCGGGGCGCGGGGCTTGCCGCCTCCCTCCGCTGGCGGACCCGGGCGAGCCCTTGCCCGGCCCTTCGGGCAGAGTGCTCGGCGCCCGTGTGCCCACTCGAGGAGGTGCTAGGCAAGCTATCGCTGCCCTTGCCGATGCTGGATCTTTGTGTTTTTCTGCAGGCTGGACTACCCTGCCCTGTATATGTGCAAACCCAAAAGAGGAGTGAAGAGGGACGACAGCAAGGTAAGGATAAGTTTCTGGGGCTCTCTTCTCGCTTAACCGCTTAAATGGGGCTCGCTGATTTTTGCAGAGTACCTTTGCTCCCAAGAGCATCCCCGGGGGGCTGCGCATACAACCTGCCCCCCGAATCACAACTGGGTTTACGAGCGAGCTGGCACGGCGGGGAGAGCGGTGCCTTGACGATAATTTGCGCGGCATGTGGTCCGCATGACATTTGTTTTGGTTTTCATCAGCGTTCCGAGGGACTCTGCCTAACACTTGGCTTTTCCGGGTTTTGATAATTAGGAAACGTACAAACTGCCACATAGACTGATAGAAAAGAAGAGGCGAGACAGGATTAACGAATGCATTGCCCAGCTGAAGGATTTACTGCCCGAGCATCTGAAACTAACGGTAAGGTGCCCAGGAGCTTACATGCCCGTGCAGATGCAGGCGCCGGCAGCCTGCCCGCCCGCCGTCCCCCTAATGCCTCGGGGACCGGTCTCACCGAAGTTAATGGAGGCGGCATTTGGAGGTAGCAGAAACGTGCCGGGAGGTAGCCAAGCCGCCCCCTACCCTTGCCTTTGCAGACGCTGGGACACCTGGAGAAAGCGGTGGTGCTGGAACTGACTTTGAAGCACTTGAAAGCGCTAACAGCCTTAACAGAGCAGCAGCACCAGAAGATAATTGCTTTGCAGAATGGTAAGCGGGGTCCGGGGGACACCGCCGCTAGGGCGGACCGGGGGCGGGCAGTGGGGGGGGCGCGGAGCGGGGCACCCCATGCCGGAGCCGCGGGTAAATGCTGTCCCCGCTCGATCTCCCCCGCAGGGGAGCGGTCCATGAAGTCTCCGGTGCAGGCCGACCTGGACGCTTTCCACTCGGGCTTTCAGACGTGCGCGAAGGAAGTGCTGCAGTACCTCTCCCGCTTCGAGAGCTGGACCCCCCGCGAGCAGCGATGCGCGCAGCTCCTCGGCCACCTGCACTCCATCTCGTCGCAGTTCCTCTCCGGCCCTCAGCTCTTCTCCCCACCGCCAGGACCCCTCAGCAAGGGATCCTCCTCCTCTTCCTCCCCGCCCGCCCCCCACTGCGCGCCGGGCCACAAGCCGGAGGGCCAGGCTAACTGCGTGCCCGTCATCCAGCGGACTCACGCCGCCGAGCTCAGCGCCGAGACCGACACGGACACGGACAGCGGCTACGGCGGGGAGGGCGAGGCGCGCCCCGAGCGCGGCCCCGCGGCGGCGGCTGGCGGAGCGCTGCCCGCCCTGGCCATCAAGCAGGAGCCGTCGGGGGACGAGCTGCCCCCTGCGCCCAAGCGGCTGAAGCTGGACCGCGGCGGGAGCCCCATGCCCAGCCCGCCGGGGCTGGCGACGTGGGGAGCCGAGGCGGCGGCGGCGGCAGCGGCGGCCGCGCTGGTCAGACCCGACGCCGCCCTGCTGGGCTCGCTGATGGCCCTGGGGGCGGGCGGCGGCGGGGGCCCCTTCGGACAGCCGGCGGCGGCCCCTTTCTGCCTGCCCTTCTACTTCATCTCCCCCTCGGCCGCCGCCGCCTACATGCAGCCCTTCCTGGATAAAAGCAGCCTGGAGAAGTATCTCTACCCCGCCGCCCCCATCCCGCTCCTCTACCCGGGCATCCCGGCCCAGGCAGCCGCCGCCGCGGCAGCTGCCGCCGCCTCCTTTCCCTGCCTCTCCTCCGTGCTCGGCCCCGAGAAGGCGGCGGCGGCCGCCACCGGGCTGCCCCCGACGCCCCACCTCCCGCACCCCTTCGCTGCCTCCGCCGAGCCCGGCGAGGAGCCCGAGCCCGCAGCTGCCGAGGAGCCCGGCGCCGAGGGCCCGTGAGACGCCCCGGGGGCTCCTCGCCGCCGCTGCCCTCCCCTCGGACTGAGGGGCCGTCGGGCCCGCACTTGCGCCCCCGGGTTCCTACGGAGGGCAGGGGTCGCCGGGGCCGGTGATCGCCGGGAGCTGGCGGCCGCGGGATGTCGGGCCCGGCCCGGGGGTGTTCCGCTGCCGGGGCGGCAGATCCCGGAGCGACCCCCGCAGAGGACCGTCGAGGATAAAATTTGTTACTCAGTATTTTTTTAATGTTTGGCTTTATAAATGCATAAATAAGGAAAACAAAACAAAACAAAAACAAAAAAAAAAAAAAAGAAGAAGAAGGAAGAAAACCTAGTAAGGATACTTTTTTTTTTTCTCTATCTATATAGAGTAATTAAATATTGCACCTTATTTGGAATGGGTTTATATAGTATGTCCCTAAGTCCCACTTGGGAACTTGCACTTGTTGTCCGGGAGACCTGGATGCATTCAGTGTGAGGGCGGGGAACGAGGCGAGGGAGGAAGGGCAGAGCCCAGCACCTGTGCTAGCACTTTATGGAGAACCGGAGTGTGGAGGATGCACCCTGAGCCCAAACCTGCAGTGCCTTGAGCACCCGGGGATGCCGCTGGCTCCAGCAAGTTTTGGGTGTGCAAGGAAAGGAGGGTCAGACCCATTACATAACCTTGTGTACCCCCTTTAAAAACCTTTTTTTTTTTTTTTTTTTTTTTTTTTTTTTTTTTTTTTTTTTTTTTTTTTTTTTGCCAAGGTATACAGGTGTGGCAAGTGCATTTGTTCTCACCCCATCTTTATTTAATTCAGTATGTTCCCAAGAGATTTATTTTCCCCCCAAACCTTGCTGTATAAAATGAATGTTACTGCACTGAACTACAAAAATAAACCCCCTTCTCTTCCCCCAAGAAAACACAGAGCAGCTTGTCAGCCTGAACTCATTTTATCCTAAATTCCGAGTGACACAAACTGGAGGCCGTAGGTAGACACCTCACTGTGCAACCAGAAACCATTAACCCAGTTGGGGTAAGTTTCCCATATGGGTTTTTCCCTCATCCCATGCTCAAATACCGCGTTTTCCCTTTCTGGAGACAAACCAGACACCAGATAATCACACAGATAAAGCTTTTATAATAAGGCTTAAACCAAGACCTTGCCTAGATATTTTTAGTTTGTTGCCAAGGTAGCACTTTGAGAAATCTCACTTGAATGTTATGTAAGAGGTGAGACACCACAGCCTGGCAAGGAGTGTGTGCGTGTCCGGAGTCTGTCAGTCCGTTTGGTGTATCTGCTGCTGCTGTTGCTACTGTTTGCCTCAAACGCTGTGTTTAAACAACGTTACAAAAAAAAAAAAATCTTACTACCCTACAGAGTGGCTGTATGTAAATAGTTGTTAATACATCCAATTAATGACGTCTGACATGCTATTTTTGTAGGGAGAAAAATATGTGTTAATGATATTTTGAGTTAAATATCTTTTGGGAAGATTTGCTGAAAAAGTTGCACTTTTGTTACAATGCTTATGCTTGATACAAGCTTATGCTGTCTTAAATTATTAAAAAAAAAATAAATCCTGTCTGCAAGAAACCAGCTGTTTTAGAACAGTTTAGTATGTGATATATTAGAAATCAATCTTTATATTCAGTATTTTCCAGCACTCCATGAATTCTATTATCTAAATATTTCCACACTATTTTGTGATTTAAAAAATTCTTAATAAGGAATAAAAACTTTAATACACAAAATGGGGCTGTCTACTAATTTAAAATGCAATGATAATACATAATAATTGGTGCATTGAGCTTCAAACTGTATGACTGAGTGGCTGATGATGATTTAATTCACATTTTTAATCTGGGTTTGAATTTGCTGGGTTTCCTTTAACTCTCTCTGGCAAACTCTGGTTTAATATGTGCCCATTTCACAAAGCAAAGTGTGGAACACACAGGTTTCTTCCTGACAGCTACTTTTTTTCCTCTTCTTTTTGCAAAATACTAATCTTTAAAATTAACATTTGTCAGTCCTGGTGCTGCATGGGAGCTCTCTTTGCTCACAAGGAACAAACTTTATGATTTGCCTAACAATCTAATGATGTATCATAATCTCTGCAGGAATGAATGATGGGTGTCCCAGCTTGGAAATACTGTACAAAAACCAAATATTTTGTGGTGAGGGAGAGAGGGAGAGGAAGAGGAGGAATGGAGTGGAAGCAGGCAGATCATTCCTAGCAGGGAAATGCAGCACCCTAAAGGCTTCAACAGATGGAATAGCAGAGCTGTAGATCACCTTTCCTTCCAAAAATTGTTGCAGGGAAATAAAATTAAAGGAACGCCTCAAACAGTAGCCAGTGTTTACGTAAGAGATGAGGGGAACGTTCCGTGCTCCCTCTGCTGGTTCTCCAGTGCCGGTGACTACAGTGACAAGGAATGAAGTTGGAATGGAATAAAAAGTTCCTAAGACTCGTGTTAATTCCATCAATCCCCTAAAACACAGGATGAATTATAAATTGGATGAAAAAGAAGCACTTATTTTAAATTACTCGAGTAGGATTGCTAAGAAATAGGCATCTTCACATGGAAGCTGTAGCAAATTTAATTCCAATTAGAGATACAGGCAGACTATCTATAAATACCACTGGACACTATACATGTTTTTTTCCATAAATAATGGACCAAAGGCTGCCACAGTGCACCACTCTTCCTGACGAAGTAAATTACTAGGTAGGGAAGTGGGAAAAAAAATCTGTGTCTGCCTCCATCTGTCTTTGGATTCCTGCTCACAGGAATGAAAGTGAGCTGGGCTCAACCCTTTCTTTCGGTAACTTTGACCTGCATACTTGAACAGCTTAACACTTGTTAGGCCAGCATTTAGGCTGGGATGAAGGTGCTCATGTATTCCAAGTCCTCCTGCCAGCTGGGCAATTGGCCTAACTGAGTGCAAAGCTCTTCCTGCCAGATCACTGCCCCAACACAAAGGGTGGAGCCACAAGCACTTCATAAAAACCTGTGCCTGTCATGAAGAACTTAGCTTAAAACCTGAGCGTCAGCAAGGCTTTGGGTCTCCTTCAAATTTTCTTCCTTTGGGAATAGGAATCCATTTAGGTTTCACTGGGCTATAAACCCAGATCCTTAGAGGGCTTTATCAATTTCAGTATTCACCATGTACAGTAACAGGAAGGCTTGTTTTTATTAGCCCTTGAATTAAACGTGACAAATAACTTCATGCCAAGTTGCAGCATCAGTGAAATCTATTACATTTTATGACATAAAACATAAAGACAAATTATGTGTTTTCTGATAATCCCAATGCCTAACAAAAGCAAACATGGGGGAAAAAGGTTTGTAATTGAGGCTGATAACCCACTGCTGCTGGAGGCAAAAGGCAAATGACAGGAGGGACCCTAGTGTCAGCCTTAATTGTTAAATTTCAGGCTTCCTCAGATCCCTTTGGAGTCTAAATCAATTTGTATGTCTTGAATTTTCTTGAGGTTAAAAACAATCACAGAAACATGGGACAAGAGCTTCCCACCTTTAAATACACATTCCCTTATGGAAACACTGAGAGTGCAGGACTAGGTGCTACATTTACCGTTTACACTTGAATCCATATTCTGTTGTCCCATAAACCACAAGATAAGTGATGCAAGCTTGATTTCTTAAGCAAAAAATGCTGAAAACAGCTTTTATAATCCAGTATATCATAGTGGCATAACAGCTGCAATAGAGTGTGTTAAATCAAGATGGTTGGGATTGTTAAGCCAATGGAAGGCAATATAATGTACCTCCAACAGAAGGACAAGGTATTTTTATATTTGGGAGTGTTACAGTTACAGATCTTGACTATCAGTCCTGTTTGAGAAAGGCCTGACCTACCATTTAAGCCATATGAGTCCTTTTCTGGAGCACAATGGGCCTTGGAGTAGGTCCCGAGTCTGTGTTTTGGGCCTTGTTTGTTTAATTTTCACTTTAGTTGGGGCAGACTGAATGTCTGACATCCAGCAAGCCTGGGGGCTGTGTGCAAGGTGTGTTTCAGCACCTCTTAATTCCTGGCCTGCTGTGTAGCCTGGGTCTTGCAACGCATTTCCTTTTCCCTTCAAACTTCAGCTCCTGGAATCATGTGATACCAGCCTTCTCTGAGAAGTTTCCTGCCTTCCAGTTGCAGAAATGAACATGCAAGTACAACCTCGGAGAAAGAAAGTAACAAAAATGCCGAATTTTCTCTGCAAAAAAAAGCTTTGGATGTTTTAAAGCCAGCTTCACTCAGGAAAGTCTGAATCTCTATTGACTGTCTGGTTCTCCTACAGGCTCAGAGTAGCTCACTGGGAAGCAGCAGAGAGAAGCCAGTGGCTCACCTGCTGCCAGCAGCAGCTGCGTGAGCCTTGGACACGTGTGGGCTGGATGTGAGCAAAGCCAAGCTGCTCTGCTCTCTGCATCCTTCCTGTGGCTCCAGCCTTTCAGCCTGCAGGGCTGTCAGTCTGTCACAAGCACTATATTCAGGGCAGCCTCGATGACAGTGCTGCCGCGGGCTGCAGGAGCTGCCCTGCCTGGGACAGGCTGTTCTGCCTTGCTGAACTCACGGGCACCCAGTGGCAGTGCACCTGCTGCTGCCACCGCTGCAAACATTCACCGCCCTGCGTGGCCCTCCTGGCGCCCCAGAGGATGCAGGTGATGCCTGGGACAGGTGAGAAAAGATTCCCTTATATTTCAGCAAGCAGGGACTTTGATCCCAGGCAGCTCTACTGGGTCATGGGGACCAAGGAGAATAGTTTCTCCTGCCTCCATAAAGCCTTGTTGGTTGTTCGTTTGGGTTTTTACTTTGCTTTTTGCTAGGTGTTTTATAAGGATGAGACCAAGGCACTCTCACAACTACGTAATTTCTAGGGAATAACCTCAGGAAAAGAGCCATGTAGGTATGGCACCTTCTTCCTCAACAGAAAATTGTCTCTCCAAGTGTATTTGGATTAATACCTGCAGCACAAAGCCAGATGAGCCAACAGATGCTGAAGTGTATTCTATTCTTACCATAGAAGGTTGTCAAGGCTCCAGCCCTCCTGCGAGTGGCAGGCAGGCCCACAGCCTTCCTTACATATGATGTTGTTTGCAAAAGAGCCCATCCAGGTGGGAGCAGCAGCCCCTCTTCATGAGCCTAATACTTACAGGTGTGGTTGGAATTCAGTGCATTGGCTTCAGGTTTGAAACCTGTGAGTAGCGACCCAGATCGGCATTTCTGTGCTATGGATATCACAGCTTCCAGCAAAGCTTGAGGCTGGGCCCTAGGTTCCAGCTGCAAGACCTGAAATATGAGTACCTCCATCAAAAACAGT